CGATTTCCCCTTTCCGAAAATCTAAATTGAACCAACTAAGCTACATTCGCATTTTGCATGTTTTGAACTTCTGTTTGGATCTCCACTGCTATTAAAATCATTCTAGGTTCTTTAAAAAAATGTACAATATTTTTTTGGGCAACAAATTAATACTTTTTGGTGTCAGGAAAATGAGCTACGTCAAAAAATCTCCCGATTGTTAAATCGCATTGAACAGGCTCTACAATGTTACCTACCAACCTCACCTAAGTCCAGCCCATCACCTACCAACCCAAGAAGTCCCAGTATGTTTGGTCAGCTGGTTTCACTCCTGTATTGTTATATAGAACAATTCATCTCAATAACGATAAACGAACAATAAAACTGACATATCATCCCCTGGACTGGTATTTCACAATTATTTTTATAATTGCAGTGTTTGAATAAAATGTGTACTATTAATAATAACACACAACTGGAAGAGTTCAAAAGTATAAAATAACTTAACTTACAACGTCCTCACCGAACCCAAAATGCAGTTATTTGGGCTAACTCCGCCGCAGCAACGTTCCAAACGTCCTCCGTCGCTGTCGCAAGCTGGAGTCACGTGACTAAAAACTGTTCACGTAGCGTAGGGAGACGTACGTAACGTCTTAAAGGGACATGAGCACAGGTTTAGGTGACGTATTGGGACGATTGGAGATCGAAAAAAAGGAGTAAATTTCCGCCAAAAAAGACAAACTCAGACGTTTTCTCGAAAAAGCGAGGACATTTCTGAGTTTGTAAAGTCGAAAATTTGCTAGAAAAAAACTAAGAATTTTTTTAGATCAATCTCAGATATTGTATAGAAAAATATTGAAAACCTTTGACTTTTTCCTTGACAATTTTTGAAATTGTAGCTCAGGTAAATCCTTGTTTGTTTGTTTTTTTGTCTTAATTTTCTTGGATTAATCTCCAACATTTGTGAGTTTTTTCTCTTTTTTTTGCTTTTTGCAGAAATTTACTCTTTTTTTCATCTACAACGACTCTCATACGCTGTTGAACATACTATACAGAGAGAAGAACAACTTTTCTTTGTATGTTTTTTAAATATCATGAAAGGTGTCAGTCATTGTTATCAATTTCGCTCATTGCTAAGACTTTGGCTCAAGTCTATCTTTAGGTTTCGGGTTTCTTCTCTTCCCCCCTGCAAAGGCAAATGAAAGATTACAGAATAGCGAATAGTTTAAATTCACCCACAAAATACATCAGCAAGCAATCTGGATTGTGTGCTGTTTCTATCCAAACAAAGTCATGCAAAAAATAAAAAGCATATGGAAGCATATCAAGACAAGACAAAGCAGATATTTCTTCCATCTGAAAGAGTTTAACTGATTTTTAAGCAATTTTGATGCAGATTCATGATATGTTTTTTTCTTTTTTCCTTGAGTTTCACTGCATGTTCAGTTGAGTTAACTCGCAGGGAGCAGGCAACAGGTGATGAATCTGCAGGAAAAACAGCAGGAGCTGCAGATATCTGGAGAGGAAGAATGCTGAATCTCTGGCAGCCAGACTCGCTTCTGGGATCCAAAACATCGCTCTGGCCTGCCAGGAGGATTGTGATGCCGCTCCACCATCTTTTCTGTCCCACATCTATCTGTTGCAACAACTGGGACGAAGGGCTGCTGCAGTTTGATTTTCTCAGCTGCCAGCATCTCCCTCTTGCTCTCTCGGTGCTCCAGAAAAGCCACATCAACGCTGATGACGTCCGCGGGCCGAGTGAAGGCATCCACTTTGTTTAAACAAGCCTGCGCTTGGAGCTGGAGGGGTAAACATGGCTGGACCACCAAGCCTGCGCTGCCTGCCTGGAGACGGCCTGGCACAGGCCGGGCCGGGCCGGGCCGGGCCAGGCCGGGCCGGATCGTCTCTGCAACATCACTGAAGATCCTGCTCTCTCTCTCTTTGGGATCCTCTGAATGCAAAAAGCAGCTGCTGAAAGCAACAAACTGGGAAGCTGATATTTACTCAGAAGGGATGAACCCTGATCATGAATCAGAGCTCGGACAGAAAGCACATCAATCCGGGTCATGCACACTTTCCTCTGAGACAGACCTTCTCAGCTAATTTAGAATCCAAAAATTGAAGTTTTCAAAAGAACATGAAATTTTGAAGCTGAAACTCCCGGTTTGGTCGGCTTTAATCGGACTCCAGCTCGTTGGATTAGAAAGCAGAGGTGATTAAAGGACCCAAAAATTATACAGTCCAAGTTTTACCGCTGTCAGCGTTTCGGTGACATCCACCACATCTGGCTCCTTTTTCTGTTGTTACATTACATAACCAGAAAAAAAATTTGTTTTAATAAAATACCCAAAATATCTATATTTATTTATAAGATATACAAGGTCATTTTTATATGTTTATTTTTATTTGTAAATATATATATATTAAAAGAGGTCAGAGCTTAAAGGCAAAATATTGCAAGAATAAGCAAATTTGTACTAAAATGTCAACAAATTTACAGACGCATAGACCTTTAAACCTTTTAGGCAGTTTACCATAAAAAGGTTGATTTGAGGTTCAGTAACGCCTTAAAGAGACAGAAAAGCCAAACTCAGACATGGCTGTGATGTGAAGTCAAATTACTTTTGAGTTGTTTTTGACACATAAAGCATTTTCAAACCAACTGAAGGTAAAATATCTCCTTGATTGTGCAACAAAATGGGACCATGTGCTTGGAAAATACACATTACAAGAAGTCTCCTTGCAAGAAAACCACAAGTTAAAAAAAACATAGTTGACTTTCTTTTGCTGCACAAATCTAAGAATGTCAGAATGCAGTGAGAAACTGAGGTATCCAGAGGGACAAACACACATGTGCCCTGTGTGTGTTTGCAGAGATTAGCACGTACTGTAACCGGCCAGCGGTTGGTTATGCTTTCCCATGGTTCCCTGCTCTCCAACAGCTGCGGAGGCCCGTTAACACCCCAATCACCGACGTGATTATGACTCTCTTAAGATAGCGAACCACACGCAGCTCCTGTTGGATAAAGACGGGGCTGTTCTGCACCGCCCAGGAGATTCTGACACAACCCCAGCTGGAACAGGCGGCACGTTGATACGGGCCGCCGTCCAGCTCACCTTCTGTGTCCTTGGACGTGAGGCGGCGGCGGCGGTGGGGGTCATGTTCACCGAGGGGCGCTACAATTGATACTCACATCAACACTCCCAACGTGGGCCACCCCCCGAGCAAAAGGCCACCCAACGGACTCAACGGAGCGGTCTGTGCTGTTGAATGTTTTTCCAATTTGTTGATGTTTTTTAAAAACATCTTTTTGCGTGTGTCCCGAGATTTCAATGTGCCTCTTCTGGATTTATTATCACAGGGTTCACACAGGCGGTAGGAAATGGGTATAACATCCCCGTCCTTCAGAGATGAGCGATGTCCTGCCAACACCTCCGTTCATCTGGCATACGCATTTCTGCAGCGCCGATGGAGAGCAGGGCCGCAGATCCCTGACCTTGTCCCGTCTCATGAAGTCGTTTGCAAACAGGTGGAAGGTAAACTTACTGCTTCATTGTAAAGCAAAACAAACTGCATGACATCATAACGAGGCTCTGAGAAACTCCCTTACAGCTGGGCGTCTAACCCTGGTTTCAGGTCTTCAGACCAGACGTCATCCTTGCGTCATCGCAGAAGCAGCAGCAGTATATATGTTGGACAGCTTACAAACATGACATGCAAGCAGAAAATAGGCAGCCTGTGTGCACCGTGTTTGCAGAGGAAGGTGTGGCCACGACTAGACTATGCTGTGGTTTCATACAGCTCTAATCACAACAACTCAAACTCTGAATACCTAAATTAAACAAACAACGACAGTTTAAATGATGTAAATCATGCTGGAGCCACAGGTAAGAAGAAATTGTAAAATGTTGACACATTTAACCAGTTTGGCTTGTTCTATAAATGCATTATACATTCACACATATTATTGTGTTTCTATATATGATCTATATAATCAAATATGTTGATTGATGTTCCCGATATGATTCAGATTAAACTATAAACTGATTTAGTCCAGATCTAAATGTTTGTAGTTTTCTTTAAGTTTGTTCCAGATGTGTGGAGCATAGAAGCTGAATGATTCTCCAGGTTTGGTTCTGGTTCTGGGGATGCAGAGCAGAACCAGAAGGTTGTGGTGCTGAGCCGTTCAGTGATTTATGAACTGACAAAAGTATTTTTAAGTGTATTTAGTAGAAAGTGAAGACGCTGCTGCAGTAAAGATAAACTGATGGAGAAGTTTCTGTAGATCTTCATGACACATTAATGTCATCTTTCTGACATTAATTTGTGATAAATTAATGAATCGACAGACAGACGGACGGACGGACGGACAGATAGATAGATAAAAATCGCTGCTGTCTGTATTTGATCTGAAACCCGATCAGAGAAACTGGAAATCAGGCAGAACAATCAGACCGATCAGTCGTTTCTTCTGTTTGTTTTTCTCCGCCTTTCGCTCTCAGTTGACTTCCTGAAGCGTTCTGGCCAAGCTTTTGCTGTTCCAGCAGCAAAATTCAATTATTGTTTTGGAGTTGTTGGTTGCTTTTTTTGTTGTTGTTTTTTTTTTTTTATCCACAGGCGATGAATAATCTCTGAATAGTAAATCAGCTTTGTGGCGTCTCATCTCTGGACTGCAGATCACGTCTAATGGGTCTGCAGGGGCCTGGATGGAAGGAGACCAAGCAGGCTTCATTCCATCCCCTGCTGGTGCAAATAAAAAAAATAAAAGCCCTTCTGAAAGGCTCGGCATGTGCTCAAGTCATCCGAGGCTCCATCGAGAACAAACCGAGAAAAAAAATGCATTAAAAAAAATCATCATCCAGATATTGACGGGTGCACAAATCAAAAAATGCCTGAAGCAAAGCCACGGTGGAGTTGGTGTGATGAGGTATGACTCTGTAAAATCAAGGAATAAATCTGTCATAATGGGGAATTTTATTTCCAGCCCATATGCAGAACACAATACGCAGAGAGATCCAGGTGGAGTGCAAATATTTACAAGGTTTATTTTACACAACAGTGAACGAGGAATGACAGGGATTCGGGTCCGGTCCACAGGAGCGTCTCGGGAGGGGAAGCGATCGGGAACTATGTAAACAGATAAGGTGGTGAGTTCAGGGACAGTCGGAAACACGGTGTGAGGGTAAACAGGAACAGTCTTACTTGAGGGGTAGACAGCTGAAGCGTGGAAGATATTCACTGCAGGGTAGCGGCAGGGTGTGTGTGTGTGTAGGCGGGCGGACAGGTGGGCTCGGTGTCCACGGTGGAAACGCGGAGCAGGACGAGGAGCGAGGCACGAGGAGCGAGGAGCAGCCAGCCAAGGAATCCGAGGGGAGCCTGTTGTTGCACAGAGAAGGTGAGTCGAGAAACTCAGCACAACGGGAAATCCTTCCACTGCATCGGGTGAATGGTCTGGTGAAAGAAGAAAGCGACAAGGAGACAGTCACAGGAGGGCAATCTCAGACGAGAAGGAAAAGAACGCTTGACAGCAACAGGGAGGCTCAGAGGTACCAATACGGGAAGACACTCAGGCGCCGAAGACTGGCAGGTTGCTCCTGAAGACGCCGCTCCTGATGAGCTCAACTCGCAACCGGTGTGCTCGCTGACGTAATCCAGCCCACCGTCCTGACAGCGCCCTCTGGTGGAAAAGAATAAGCACAACCACCCAAACCCATGGCGACAAAACGCTAAGAACACCCCCAAGACCCTGACAGTACCCCCCCCTAACGGTTGCCTCTAGGCAACCCAGACGAGGTAGAGGGAAGCGAAGCCCGGTAATCAGAAATAAGGGACGGGTCCAGAATGTAAGACCCCGGGACCCAGGAACGCTCCTCAGGGCCGTAACCCTCCCAATCTACGAGATACTGCCACCCCCTACCGCGACGACGGGAATCCACGATTCTCCGAACCGTGTAAGCCGGATGGCCATCGATCTCACGGGGGGGGCGGAGGAGCCTCGGCTGGAGGGCAGAGCGTGCTGGTCTGTACGGGTTTGATCTGGGAGACATGAAAGGTGGGATGGATGCGGAGAGAGGCGGGGAGACGGAGGCGGACTGCAGACGGGTTAATGATAGTCTCAATTTCAAAAGGGCCGATGTAACGGGGTGAAAGCTTCCTGGAAATGGATTTTAAGGGGATGTCGTGGGAGGACAGCCATACCTGTTGACCAGGTGTGTAAGTCGGGGCGGGGCGCCGCTTACGGTCAGCCTGCCGTTTTATCTGTGCAGCGGTGAGGTGGAGATTATGAATAGTGGAACTCCAAACCTTGTGACAACGGCGGATGTGGTGACGGACAGAAGGGACAGAGATGGAATCTTCATCAGAGGGTAGCAGCGGAGGTTGGTAGCCCAGGGACGCCTCGAATGGGGACAAACCTGTGGCAGAGGAGACATGAATATTGTGAGCGTATTCTACCCATGGTAGAAACAGAGACCAGTCGGAAGGGTTGGAGGAAGAAAAACATCGGAGGGTGGCCTCGAGATCTTGGTTCAGCCGTTCGGTTTGTCCGTTCGACTGTGGGTGAAAACCAGATGTGAGTGATGTTTTGGCGTTTAAAGCAGAGCAAAACTCCCGCCAAACCTGGGAAGTGAACTGAGGGCCCCTGTCCGAGAGTATGTCCGCGGGAATGCCGTGAAGCCGGAAAACGTGTTTTACTAAGAGCTGAGCCGTTTGAAGGGCAGAGGGAAGTTTGCGGAGCGGGACAAAATGACAGGCCTTGGAAAACCTGTCGACTATAGAAAGGATGGTAGTCATACCCTTGGAGGGTGGCAAACCCGTGACAAAATCTATGGCGATATGAGACCAGGGTCGCTGAGGAGTGGGAAGTGGTTGCAGGAGACCTGAAGGGAGTTGATGGGAGGATTTATTTCTGGAGCAAATGGAACAGGCCCGGACATACTCTCGGACGTCTTTGTGGACTGATGGCCACCAGAACCGTCTGTTGACCAGGGCAATCGTCCGGCTGACTCCGGGATGACCCGAAAATCGGGAGGCGTGGATCCACTGGAGGAACTGGGGGCGCACAGAAGAAGGGACGAATATCTTGTTAGCCGGACAGGACTCTGGAGGGGGTTCGGAGTGTTGAGCTTGCGTGATTATTTCCTCGATCTCCCAAGTCAGAGCTCCCACTGTGCAACTGGGTGGGAGAATAGGAGCAGGAAGGTTGTCAGAGTCGTCGGGAGAGTAAAGCCGGGACAGTGCATCTGGCTTAGTGTTTCTGGAGCCTGGACGATAGGAAATAGACAGATTAAATCGGGAAAAGAATAGTGACCACCGTGACTGGCGAGGGTTCAGCCTCTTGGCAGACTGCAGGTAGGCGAGGTTCCTGTGATCGGTCCAGACCAGCACCGGGTGTTCCGCGCCCTCCAGCCAATGTCTCCACTCCTCCAAGGCTAGTTTTATGCCCAGCAGTTCCCGGTCCCCCACGTCGTAGTTCCTTTCTGATGGGGACAACCTGCGTGAGAAGAAGGCACACGGATGAGTTTTATTGTCAACTGCGGAAATTTGGGACAGCACAGCTCCGACTCCCATGTCAGAGGCGTCCACCTCTACGATGAACTGACGAGACGGATCTGGCTGAATGAGGATGGGGGCATTGGAGAACAGGCTCTTGAGGTGATTAAAGGCCCTTTCAGCCTCTGGGGTCCAACGGAATGGAACCTTAGAGGAAGTCAGAGCGGTCAGGGGTAACGCGGTTTGACTGTAATTGCGAATGAACCTACGATAGAAGTTGGCAAATCCTAGGAATCGTTGGAGCTGTTTGCGAGTTTCCGGAACGGGCCATTCCAATACTGCCTGGATCTTCTCCTCCGTAGGCCTCACCTGTCCGCCCCCTAGGATGAAACCCAGAAATGAGACGGAGGACTGGTGAAATTCACATTTCTCTGCCTTTACGTAAAGTTTGTTCTCAAGCAATCGCTGGAGAACCTGCCGCACGTGAAGTCTGTGTTCCTCCACTGACTTGGAGAAAATTAAAATATCATCGAGGTAAACGAATACAAATACATTTAGGAAGTCTCGGAGGACATCGTTTACCAGCGCTTGGAAAAACGCAGGGGCATTGGACAATCCAAAAGGCATAACCAAATATTCGAACTGCCCCATGGGAGTCTTGAAGGCAGTTTTCCATTCGTCGCCATCGCGAATGCGGAGCAGATGGTAGGCATTTCTCAGGTCTAATTTAGTAAAGAAGGCGGCTCCTTGGACGGGCTCGAATGCAGAGGATAATAGCGGTAAAGGGTACTTATTTTTAACAGTGATGTTGTTGAGTCCTCTATAATCAATACAGGGCCGCAGGGATCCGTCCTTCTTCCCAACGAAGAAGAACCCCGCTCCTAGTGGTGATGATGAAGGCCGGATGATCCCTGCCGCAAGAGATTCCTTTAAATATTGTTCCATGGTCTCCCTCTCCGGACGGGAAATGTGATATAGGCGACTGGAGGGCAGAGGGGCTCCCGGGAGCAGGTCAATGGAACAATCATAGGGTCGATGCGGCGGCAGGGAAAGAGCCTTTACCTTGCTGAAGACTGCAGAGAGGTCGTGGTATTCAGGGGGTATGGTGGAGAGGTCAATTTGATCTGTCGTCTGCAGGAAGTCGGATGACGACCCGGGAGGAACTGCAGAGCGGAGACATGATGAGTGGCAGGGAGTAGACCAAGAAACGACGTGCCCCTCGGACCAGTCTATTTGGGGGTTATGTTGTTTGAGCCACTGGAAACCTAAGACTACCGGAGAATTAGAAGTGGGAAACACGAAGAAAGAAATCCACTCAGAGTGGTTGCCGGAAATGGTCAGGTGGAGCGGTTTCGTCTGGTGAGTAATAGGCTGCAATGTCTTACCGTCTAGTGAAGTGACTCTAAAAGGAGTTGGCAACGGGACTGTTTCAACGCCCCTCTCTTTGACAAAAACCTCGTCTAATAGGTTCCGTTCACACCCCGAATCAACGAGAGCGGATAATGGGAATGACTGATTAGCGTGGGTTATGGTAGCCGGCAAAAGGAGTCGCGGTGAGGTCTTCTGATTCTGGTGGTCCGCCACCACCCTCACTCCGGCTGGCGGACCTGGGAGTTTGACCGGAGCGGGCAGGAGGAACGGAAATGGCCAGGCGCACCGCAGTAGAGACAGAGGCGACTCGACATTCTACGTTGTCGCTCCTGCGGTGTGAGACGCGTACCACCCAGCTGCATGGGTTCGGGGGTAGCCGAATCGCGGGCAGGAGATGCTAGCGGGGCTGCTCTAAGCCGTCCGTGGTCTGCCTCGGGAGAGCGGTGCCGACCTCTTTCACGAGCGCGGAAGCGGAGACGATTATCGAGCCTGATGGCGATACTGATAAGGTCCTCTATAGTCTTTGGCTCGTCTAAAGTGGCTAATTGGTCTTGTATAGGCTCATTAAGCGCCTGGAAAAACACGCTCTTTGCGCTGCCTCATTCCACCCCGTGGAAGCGGCTTTGGTGCGGAAGTGGATAGCAAAATCAGCCACAGTCTGTTTGCCCTGTTTTATGTGCAAGAACTCACGGGAAATGTGGGTCTTATCGGAGTCCAAGCTAAAAACCTGTTTAAATTCAGTCAGGAAATGGTCAAATGAAACACCGTAATCCGTGGGGTCAGGGAAACGGGATTCTGCCCATAATAAGGCTTGACCAGACAGCTGTGCGAGCATGTAGGCTATCTTTGTGCTGTCTTGAGAGAAACTCTGGGGAGCGCTGTTGAATATAATAGAACATTGTAGCACAAAACCATTACACCTTGTACGGTCTCCGGAAAATTTTTCAGGCCCGGGGAGGCGGACGTCGGAAAAGACGGGCGGAACCGGAGCTATCGGACCAGGAACGGGGGCAGGAGTAGGTGGTGATAGAGAGCTCTGCAGAAACGCGGTTAGCTCTCCTAAACGCTGGTTCGTTTCCGTCTGGAGATCATGGAGTTGTCTAAGCGCCACCTTGTGGGCCTGGATCTCAGATTGCTGCTCGATCAACGTTTTGCGAATTGCGTCCGCTGGACTGAGAGTTTGGCCTGAGTGTTCTGTCATATTGGGGAATTTTATTTCCAGCCCATATGCAGAACACAATACGCAGAGAGATCCAGGTGGAGTGCAAATATTTACAAGGTTTATTTTACACAACAGTGAACGAGGAATGACAGGGATTCGGGTCCGGTCCACAGGAGCGTCTCGGGAGGGGAAGCGATCGGGAACTATGTAAACAGATAAGGTGGTGAGTTCAGGGACAGTCGGAAACACGGTGTGAGGGTAAACAGGAACAGTCTTACTTGAGGGGTAGACAGCTGAAGCGTGGAAGATATTCACTGCAGGGTAGCGGCAGGGTGTGTGTGTGTGTAGGCGGGCGGACAGGTGGGCTCGGTGTCCACGGTGGAAACGCGGAGCAGGACGAGGAGCGAGGCACGAGGAGCGAGGAGCAGCCAGCCAAGGAATCCGAGGGGAGCCTGTTGTTGCACAGAGAAGGTGAGTCGAGAAACTCAGCACAACGGGAAATCCTTCCACTGCATCGGGTGAATGGTCTGGTGAAAGAAGAAAGCGACAAGGAGACAGTCACAGGAGGGCAATCTCAGACGAGAAGGAAAAGAACGCTTGACAGCAACAGGGAGGCTCAGAGGTACCAATACGGGAAGACACTCAGGCGCCGAAGACTGGCAGGTTGCTCCTGAAGACGCCGCTCCTGATGAGCTCAACTCGCAACCGGTGTGCTCGCTGACGTAATCCAGCCCACCGTCCTGACAGCGCCCTCTGGTGGAAAAGAAGAAGCACAACCACCCAAACCCATGGCGACAAAACGCTAAGAACACCCCCAAGACCCTGACAAAAACATTAAATTGTCCTAAGAGTCGCTGCTCGCTAGTTGGTCGCCTAATATCACGTTTATCTTGTTGATTTCACTTTTAAAATGGTTACACAGAGGTAAGGGTTTCACTACTTCAACTTATTTTT